GGTGGAGGTGGTGGGGGTGGAGGTGGTGGTGATGGTGGTGGTGGTGGTGGAGGTGGAGGTAGAGTTATGCCATTTCTCCAGCATTGGTGTAAGTATTTCTTAAATTCTTTTAAAGCAATGTAACTTCTGGGGGGAAAAACGCCAAAAACCACAAAATGGGCTTTATGTCTGCAGTGGGAATTACTTAACTACCTGAGAGCGTTTCCCATGTGTTTTTTTCTTCTTCTTTCTTCTTCTTTTAAATGGGATCTTTGCCTTATTATCTTCCCTTCTATGAACTCCACTTGTCAGAGTCTAAACGCAAAGTTCTCTTACAAGAGTCAGTGTCTATTTCACAAGTAAAAGATACCATCTAATGCTGGGGGGATATGCAGTTGAGAATCTGGGTTTTTTTCATCCCTCTCCTCAGGTAAGTTTGAAGAATACCTGTTTGAAATTGGTGCAAAGGGTTCCTGCAAACGTTTGGGGACTCTGAGTCTTCTAAGAAAGGCTGGCATTTCCTGAAGGGCCCAGGAGCTTTCCTGCTCTCCTCTTTTCCTTTCTTCGAAGGCTCTAGTTCTCAGATGTGTATAATACTGGATCCCAGGTCTCTAACCTTTTCATTCTTGAGCCAACCCCCAGACTTCACCAGTTACCTGGAGCAGAATGAGGTTGTACCAATTTGAGAAAAGAATGTATGCAAAGAGCCCACTCCAGGATCCAGCTCACCCTTGAGTCTTAGGTGATATTCAACCCCATCCCTATTTTCTTTACTCATAAAGTGGCATCCTGTGAACTTGGCAGGGGGTAGGGTGGGATTGGTAACAGCCAATGGGGTAATAGGTAGATGCTCCATATATGACCTCTTGAGCAAGTACAGTTGAAAGAATGGTGTCCCTTTAAGTGCATGTTCTCAAGAAGGATTAGTGGACTGGAGAGATGGATGTCTCAGTGGTTAAGTACACTGGCTGTTCTCTCAGAGGACCTAGGTTTTGTTCTGAGCACTCACATGGTGGCTAGCAACAGTCTGTAACTCCTGTTCCAGGGGATCTCAGCCTCTTTCTGGCTTCTGTAATGTGTGCAGATATACATGTAGGTAAAACACTCATACATACATACATACACACATACATACACACACATATATACACACATACATATATACATACACACATACATATACACATGCATACACACATACATATATACACACAGTTGTACATGTATGTATATGTAGATATGTATGTATATATATGTATGTATATAATCAATAATTTTTAAAAAGGATTGATGGACTTAGGAGAATGTCTGACTAGATTTCAGTAATCCTGGCCCCAGCACCTAGACATGTGACTTGTTGGTTTACCTGCAGTCATTTTCCTCTTGCTTATACTGCATCTTCGGAGAATTCACTGTAGAATTTCACAGACTGCTATGTTAAAGTAGCGTGTGTGCTTCACTGTCTTCTTCTGCAAGCTGTTGTCTTTTATTTATTGATTTTTCAATTTTTTTTACTAAATTGAAAATATGTCTGAGTGTTCAGCTTTTGCCTATAATTACAGTGTGTACAGTTTTTTGTTGTTTTGTTTTTGGCTTTTGGTTTTATCGAGACAGGGTTTCTCTGTGTAGCCCTGGCTGCCCTGGAACTCACTCTGTAGACGAGGCTGGCCTCAAACTCATAGAGATCCGCCTGCCTCTGCCTCCTAAGTGCTGGGATTGAAGGCGTGTGTAACCACTACCTGGCTTGTGTGTACTGTTTTTGTTGTTGTTTTTTCCTGAGTACCTTCCCAAATGTTTTCCTCACCATAGTTCTCTCTGTTCAATCCCATACTTTTCCTTGTTGCCTCTTTCAGAGGAGAAAGAGCCCACAAGAAGGAGACTAGGAGTTCTGAGGGAGGAGCCCCCTCTGTGTGTGCACAGTGCTTGTGGACATGAACGTTTCCTGCCACAGCACAGTGTAGAGGCCGAGACTAACTGCCCGCGCTGGTCCTCATCCTCTGCGTTGTGTGATGTGGGCTCTTTGGTGGTGGTGGTGCTGAACCCAGAGGTTCTGTGACCAGTGCCTGTCCTCCTCTAGGAACGCAGGGGTTACAGGTGTGCTGCATGTGCCCAGCTTCGTGTGGGTTTTAGGTGTTCAAGCTCAGGTCCTCTGCTTCCATAGCAAGTGCTGCACCCTCAGCCCAGAACATCCAGTTTAAAGAGAACCATTTTCGGGGCCTGGAGAGATGGATCAGTGATTAAGAGCACTTGCAGAGGGCCAGATTTGGTTCCCAGCACCCACGTGGCAGCTCCTAACCATCTGTAACTCCAGTTCCAGGGGAATCTGATGCCATTTTCCAGCCTCCATGGGCACCAGGCATGCACGTGGCACACATGAATGCATGCAGGTAAACACTCAAAACACATAAAGTAAAAGAATTTTTAAAAAGAGAATGGGAACCTTTTATTTTTGAATTGTGTCTTTTGAAAAGTCTATATTGGGTGTGGTGGCACATCCCTGTAATCCCAGTCCTTGGGAAATGGAGGCAGGAAGATCAGATATTAAAAGATGGTGTGGTTACACAATAAGTTTGAGGTCAGCCGAGTTACGTGTGACCCTGTTTCCAAAAGCAGTCAAGCTTAAAGGTGCCTGTGACTTTTCTAAATTAAACTATTAATTATTTAACAGCATTAGATACTAACAAGATTTTGTAAGATTAAAAAGGCACGCGTGTGTTGTGGTTTTCTTGTTGTAGTATAGGCAGCTTTCCTTTCTGCTGCTCAGAGGTGGGATCCTGGAGAGCTGGGGTGGGGGAGTGGCCTGTTTGAGTGTCACTTTCTCATGTGCAGTGGCCTGGGGAGCTGGGGTGGGGGAGTGGCCTGTTTGAGTGTGTCCCTTTCTCATGTGCAGTGGCCTGGGGAGTGGTGGTTTATGTTTTTGTGGAGCTGTTTTAGAACAAAATGAAAACATTGAGACACTTGGGAGAGACCCCGTGCATTTGGGCCCAAACAAGATAGCAAGACTCTGCCTCCCACAACAAACTACCCAAGAAAAACCCTTTAATTTACTGAGTTGTTCTTTGTATTTGTGGAGGTTTGGTTCCTGGATTTCCTCAGACATAGAATTTGTGGGTGCTTAAGTCTTATGAAATGGCAATTTGTATATAACCTGGCCCACTCTCCTGGGGTGCATTTAGTTTCTTGTTGTATGAGAGTCTGGTGTAGCTGATGCTGGCTTTGAACTCCTGGTCTCCTGCCTTACCCTCATAAGTAAGTACTGGGAATAGAGCTGTACACCACCACTCACGGCTCCCTCTTGTGTGCTTTAACAATCTCTCCTTTACTTACGATGCTTACTTACTACAGCGTAGACACTGTGTAAATAGTTGTTATACTGTATTGTTTAAGAAAGAATAGCAAAAGGAAGTCTGCAATGTTTGTTAGGCACAGGCAAGTTTGGTTTCCTTTTTTAAAATTTTTCATTATTTGTGTGTGTGTGTGTGTGTGTGTGTGTGTGTGTGTGTGTGTGTGTGTGTGTGTGTTTATCTGCATGTATTCCTATCATATGTGTGCCTCGTGTCTGAGAAGATGGGAAGAGAGCGTTAGATCCGCTAGAACTGGAATTACAGATGATTGTAGGTTGACATGGGTGCTAGGAACTAAACCTGGACCCTCTGCAAGGGCAGGAAGTGCTCTTAACTGCAGCGCTCTCTCTCCAGCCCCTTTGTGTATTTGCTCTACAGTTACAGAGGGCCTAACTATGGCTGTCTGTGGTAGAGCTGTTTGACCATCCTCAGCACAGACTACTAGATATATTACAAGAGACAAAGCAGCCTTGAATTTCTATGATCTGAGCTGTCTGTGACGGAAGAGTTTCTCAGTGTTCTCAGAAGAACAAATCCTGTTCACCTTGGAACTTTCGGTTAGGAGCCAGTGAACCCAAAACAACCCACTAATTTGTATTTTATTTACGTTAGTAGGTTAGGAAATAATTCAGTGTTGGGTCTGCATTTTTAAAGAAATGACAGATTCAGAGTAAATGATGTGACATTGTATGTAGTGTAATGTAATATATAGTGATGTGTGCACATGTGCATATTGGATCACAATAAAAATTATGAATTATTGGCAAGTTAGTTTGCAAAGCACTGATTTGTATGTACCCTTTTAAGCAGAGTAGTTGAACAACCATGAAGTTATTTATTTAGTGATGCTTGCCTCTACCCACTGAGTGTCTAAAATAACGTTGGTAATTAGCCATTACTTACTTAGTGATTGTAGTGGGCCGGGCATGATTTCAAAAGCCTTGATACGAAAATCACATAGTTTCTACAACCAGCCCACTTTACAGGTGGAAAATTGATATTTAATTTGAACCAGAGCTGGTGAATCTGGAGTTCTTATTCTAAAACATTTCTTTTTGGGAAGACTTTAAAAAGATAAAAAAGAATGGGTCTCACTGTGTAGCCCTGGCTGGCCTGGAACTCAGTGATTCATTTCCCTCTTGAGTTATTGGAAGTAAAGGCATATGTCACCATGCTAAGGAGCTTTCATGAAGCTCCTTAAAAAAGTAAGAAGACCTAAAGTGTACATGGAATTCAAGTTCAGAGTTAACTAATATGCTTCCCTAACCTTTATTCCAGATATGAGAAATGAGTGTTGGACGTCGAAGAATAAAGTTGTTGGGTATCCTGATGATGGCAAATGTCTTCATTTATTTGATTGTGGAAGTCTCCAAAAACAGTAGCCAAGAAAAAAATGGAAAGGGGGGAGTAATAATACCCAAAGAAAAGTTCTGGAAGATATCCAGCCCTCCCCGGGCATACTGGAACCGAGAACAAGAGAAACTAAACAAGTGGTACAATCCCATTCTGAACAGGCTGGCTAACCAGACAGGGGACTTGTACATGTCTCCTAACACAAGTCATCTGGGCTACTGTGAGCCTGACCCAAGGGTCATGACAGCTGTGACAGATTTTAATAATCTGCCGGACAGATTTAAAGACTTCCTCTTGTATTTGAGATGCCGAAATTACTCACTGCTTATAGATCAACCGAAGAAATGTGCAAAGAAACCTTTCTTACTGCTGGCAATTAAGTCCCTCATTCCACATTTCGCCAGAAGGCAAGCAATTCGGGAGTCTTGGGGCAGAGAAACCAATGTGGGGAACCAGACCGTAGTGAGAGTCTTCTTGTTGGGCAAGACACCCCCAGAGGACAACCACCCTGACCTTTCAGACATGCTGAAGTTTGAGAGTGAGAAGCACCAGGACATTCTCATGTGGAACTACAGAGACACATTCTTCAACCTGTCCCTGAAGGAAGTGCTGTTTCTCAGGTGGGTGAGCACTTCTTGTCCAGACGCAGAGTTTGTTTTCAAAGGCGATGATGATGTGTTTGTGAACACTCATCACATCCTGAATTACTTGAATAGCTTATCCAAGAACAAAGCCAAAGATTTGTTTATAGGTGACGTGATCCACAATGCTGGACCTCATCGGGATAAGAAACTGAAGTACTACATCCCAGAAGTCTTCTACACTGGGGTCTACCCGCCGTATGCAGGGGGAGGTGGATTCCTGTACTCTGGCCCCCTGGCCCTGAGACTGTACAATATAACTGACCGGGTCCACCTCTACCCCATAGATGATGTTTATACTGGAATGTGCCTTCAGAAATTGGGCCTTGTTCCAGAGAAGCACAAAGGCTTCAGGACATTTGATATTGAAGAGAAAAATAAAAAAAATATTTGTGCATATATAGATCTAATGTTAGTACATAGCAGAAAACCTCAAGAGATGATTGACATTTGGTCTCAGTTGCAAAGTCCTAATCTAAAATGCTAATGTACATCTGCGCTACCTACATTTCACACAGAGGCCTATCCTGTCTAGTTCCCACATTGTGCTTTCACAGTAGGGTGACTTCTGTGTGAAGCCATCAGCCTTGATGAGTAGCATCCGGGCCTTCAAGCCCTTCAGTTCCACACCTTTGTGGCCAGAGAAAAGCTGAAGACAATTCATCATGGCAGGATGGTTAGTTCTGACCCTTCTTCTGGCTGCCGGTCCTCAGTTTCTAATTTTTCCTTCTCCAAAATCAAGTTTAGAATTTGACCATGAAGATCTTTTTTTTGTCCTTATAATGGTATACTCCTGTTTCCATTTTAACCGATTGGCTAATTTTGATTTTGTAGGGCATGATCTGGTGTTTTTGTGAAATGGAATTATGTTTATTTTCATAAGGTTTTGGTGGATTTTTAAAATTGTCTAGAAAGTAGACTGATGTTGAAATTCCTGTCACCCCAACAGTATTCTCCTTGTTATTAGAACCCGTCACTTTCTTGACAAAGGAAAGTCACTGTGCAGCATGCACAGTTCACCTCCTCTGGCCTTAGGCCATGAGAAGGGCAGAGGATTTTCTTTTACTTGTGTTTGATTTGCTGGGTGGCATCATGATAGCTAACCCAGTTTTAGTATTTTGGAAATCCTGAGTGTGATTCCCTAGTGGCCAACTGAAGACTGAGTAGCCCGACAGCCATATGGGTTTGTGAATGTTCACTGTGGGTCAGGGAAGCATTTGTGACTTTTGAACTTGAAATGAAAAGATAGAATTTGAAGGCATTTGCTTAAGTGGCTTGTCAGTTTAAAACTCCAGGATTCTTCTTGCCATGTTCTCACACATTGCTTAGATGAAGCTCTCCGGGTAGTGATGCTTCCCTCTCTCAGTGTAGAAGTGCCTGTGTTTTTATTTATTGTTCAGATCAAAGACCAAAACATTTTCTTAAAAAATATTTTGTGTAATATTTTATTTGTATACAGTGTTGTTTGTGAAATATTTAACTAGAGCATGATATTTTATTTTATTTTCCTCATTTTTTAATTAGTTTTTTGAGAATTTCATACGTGTTTTGATCACATTCACTTCCCCCAACTCCTCCCAGATCCAGCCCCCAGCATGATGTTTTAAATGTTAAGCTGTAACATATGTTGAATAAAGTTAACTCTTACTTTTGAATTTTAAAATTTGGATTGGGGGGGTATGAACTGCTAAAGTTGATACGGTTCTGCCAAATCACTGCTTACACCTTGTATCTTGTAACATGCTTTCTTGAAATATTTTTGTGTTTTAGAGGGTTCTCATCTGTGCTACTGGGGACTGGGGAAAAAGGGGAAATAAAGTGACTGTATTTTTTAATCATCATGTGTAATAATTATCTTTCTGTTCTTGTTTTCTTGTGTTTTATTACATCTTCCCCAAGCCGTCTCTCCCAGAAACTGTTATATTAACTGTCTGTCTATCTCTGGGTTAGCCACTGCGGTATCTCTAGTCTCAGAATGCCTCCCAGTTGAGTCATGGAAAGGCACTGTCTGTGGCGTCCTGGCAGCTGTCCATCCCAGCCATGCTTACTCTCTGAGAACCGTGCTCTCTATATTCCTGGCTGTCCTGGGGCTCACTCGGTTGGCAGAGCTCCTCCTCCCTCTGCCTCCAGAGTGGCTGAGTTAAAGGCATGCACTCAGCTGTAACCCACCTGGAGCCCTTGCATCCTAAGTGTCTGTCAGAAGGACCCAGACCCTCCCATTCAGTGGCCTGCACTGTTTTTCCCAACCTGTCAACTACTGCACACCTCCATGCCCTTCAGAGGCCTCCTTGATACTGACTAAACCATTTTACTGACTTGAGTAACCCAGATCTGGAGCACCTACTTCTGCCACTTCTTTAAAAACGTGAGGGGTATAGAAAACGCATGCCCTCTCCTTGACTTGGGACCTTTCAGAAGCACACTCTAAGGTGAGGCTTCTAGTGTGAGTAGTTTTGGACCTGGGAAGGGAAGGCAACTGCCTTCTAGGACTGGAGATCTATTGAGAACCCTGGAGGGAGTGCAGAATGTATGTTCACAGTATCTGAAGCCAAGGAAGCTGGGCTGTTTTCTAAAACAGCTTTGTCGATGGCGTAATTTTTCACAAAGTGTGTACACTAACTTAAAAAAAAATGGCCTGCAGGGTTACACAGCCACTCTTACTATAATGTACTCCAAAAGAAATTTGGTTGAACTTTAACAAATGTTAGGATTTCTGTTTATTTGATAGTCTTATTATGTGGCTTTAAGGTGCCCTTAAGCTATTCCTGTCTCAGTTTCTCAAATGCTGAGGTTACAAGGTTGAGGTACCATGCCTGGCTGTAGGCATTTTTCTCTTGCTGTTTTTGCTTTATAAAACACTTTCTGGGAGCTAGGGTATAGTTCACTCAGTAGAGAGCTTGCCCATTCTTCAGAGCCCTGGAATAAAACCCTGGGGCCAAATAAACCTGGGATGGGGTGTGGTGGCACATTCCTGTGTCTCAGCACTCTCCAGAGGTGGAGGCAGGAATATCAGAATTCAAGGACATCCATCCTTTGGCTATATAGGAAGTTGGAAGCCAGTCTATGGTACATGAGACACTGTCCCATTCACTTGCACTCCACAAAAAAACCAGCAATGTCTTGTTTTCTGATTGCTTGTTCCACAGGAACCTGTTATGAGTTGATGCCAAAAATGAATTTGACTTGAAAGTATTTAATAGTTACCTCACATCGTGTTGCTAATATTTTCACGGAGAGAATACTAAGTGATCTTGGCATTTTTTATGAACTCAGTTGATATGTAAAAATTCATAAGAAGTCTTTAAAACATTATTTGACATGTATGATGTGTATGTGCACACATGTGTCATGCCACCAGAAGACAACTTTGTGGAGTCATTTCTCTTCTCGCACCTTTATGTGGGTTCCAGGATCAAATTTAGGTGGCTAGGCTTGCTTGGCAAGAACCTTTACTCAGCATGAGCGATCCTGTTGGCCCCTCAGGAAATGTTTTGTTTTCAAGTATATGTACCCCAGGTTCGGCTTCCATGCTCAAAGGCTGCAGGTAGGTCTCATTGAGTGTGTCTTTACTTTCATGGATTAAGCATGGTTTCTTCTGAAGTGCAGTAAGGACTCTGAGGAGTCCCGCATGTCTCATGGGCTTTCTGGTGACACTGCCAGCCTAGCAGTGGCCTCTGGCCCTGTCTCCATCCTGGCCATCAGTCTTTTCCCACGCTGGGTAACCGAGGAGGAGACTTAGTATGAAAATGGAATTTAAATAACTTGTCTGACTTTCTCCCTTTTTTCTTTTTGTAAACCTGGGGATCCTCATGGGTGCCAGGCAGGCATTCTACCATGAAAGCATCTACTTGCCCCCCACCCCCATTCTTAACTGGAGGAGGGTTCCTACCCAGTGGGTAGGTAGGGAGTGGGGCACACACCTTAGCTCTCCGTGGACTCTGTAGCTGTGGGTCATCCCCTCAGATCAAGGCAAGAATGACCCTTGGATCAGACCGTTCTTCCTTGACATGTTGGCACCTGTCTGGTCAGGGTCAGCCTCCTCCGTCCTCTACAGCGGAGGAACTGCCCCTCCTCTGACTGTCTCGGAGTGATGTCTGCTGCTTGTTACCCTGCTGAGGACTGCTGGAATTGACCCGGAAGGACAGCAGCAGAGCTCTCCCCTGTCTCCTCCACACTGCCACAGAGACCAATAGCTGGAGGTGACTTTGAGAAGGAGGCTCCAGGATTCATTCAGTTACCCAAGCCTGTCCAACAGCTCCTTCCTGGGGTGGGTGGGAGTGGCCAGGCTCCCCATGTCTTGTCTGATTTTACTCAACATCTCCTTGGACCCCAGGTCTTGCCTCCCTTGAAGTTAGTGATCCTCTGTAGCTCTCCCTGTCATCCAAGGGCTCAGGGCAGTTAGGGTCAGGGTGCCTTCTTTCCCACTGTAAAACATGGCACAGGATTGAGATGAGAATGACCACGCGTACACTCTGCTGGACGGAGAAGGGAGGCCGCAGTGTAGACCTGTGCTGGCGGAGCCTAACACCAGCAAAGGGAAAGGTGCAAGAAACACCTGGACAGAGACCCAGCGCGGCACAAGCCACAGACCTGCCTTGTTTGGGCTCTTGTAGTCCTGCATTCCAAGCTGCCCCTAAGGCTAGAGCTCAGACTCTCTGGCGGCAGAATTGTCCTCCTGGCTGCTGAGATGGAGGAGCCCAGGCACACAGGGAAAAAAAAAAGACAGTAATCAAATGTGGGCACACGTGAGCTGCTCACATAGCAACAGTCTCACATTCTTGTTTTTGTCTTGTGGGAAATGAGAAATGAGTCGTGCGCATTGGCAGACACATCATTGGGCTAAAACTTGGTGGGGAATGCCCTTATTTATCTGATTGCAAAAGCTTCAAGTGAGTCACCATGGAAGGAATGAAGAGGGTGACTGGTGTGCTGTCTAGAAGGCTAGAGAACTGTTTTTCACTAACAGACCTGCTGGATCCAAGACTAAGACGAGATGTAAAGCAGCCCGTTGGGGAGCCTGCTGGCTCTCAGCTGGGAGGGAGGGCCGCTTCATGCTTGAAGGCAGGCCTCTACTGCTCCTACCTTCAGAAGTGGGCGAGGTACTTAGGTAAGTGCTTAGTCCCTGTAGCTGAGTACAAGCCTAGCTAACAGATCAGAGCTGTGAAGCGGAACAGCTACAAACAGGCAAGGTGGACGTGCTGGTGTGTGCCGGTAAGGCCAGCCTGAGCTACCTAGTGAGACCCTGTTCCAACAAAACAACAGTAAAAGTCCTATTCCCTGTGTCATGGTTGAAATAAGTCAGAACATTTAGAAGTATGCTCTCTTTTATCCCAGGACACTTTTCATTGCCAATAGACTAATCCAGTGAGCTTAAATGTCTTCAGTGACTTACTAAGTGACTCATTTGGAAAACCTTAATTTAAAATGTAAAATTTTATTTTTATTTATATGTGTGTGCCTCTGTATGTGTTGTGTATGTATGTGCCGTGTGTGTGTGTGTGTGTGTCTGTGTCTGTGTGTGTGTCTGTGTCTGTGTGTGTGTCTGTGTGTACCCACAGAGGCCAGAAAAGGGTGTCAGATCCTCTAGAGCTGGAGTTACAGGTAGTTGTGAGCAACCCACCATAGGTGCTGGCAACCAGACTGGTCCTCTGAAATAAGTACCAGTGCTCTGAAAAAAAAAATTAAGATTTACTTATCTTATTTAACGTATATAAGTGTCTTGGCTTCATGTATGTTTGCACACCATGTGCATGCCTGGAGTCCACAGAGGTCAGAAGAGGGAATGTGTTGATAGAGATTTGTGAGGTACCATGTGGATGCTGGGCTTGAACCCAGGTCCTCTGTAAGATTGCAAACGTTCTTAACCTCTGAGTTACTTCTCCAGCCCCAGTGTATGCTCTTAACAGACGAGCCATCTCCTTAGCCCCCCAGTTTTATTAAAATGTGTGTGCACTGTTGCCTGAATGAATGTATGCGTACCATGTGCTCTAGGAGCCCAAGTCGGTCTGAGAGGGGTCAGATCCTCTGAAACTGGAGTTACAGTTGTGAGCTGACATGAAGATGCTTGGAATCGAACCCAGGTCCTCTGCAAGAGCACTAAGTGCTCTTCACTGCCAAACCATCTCTCCAGCTGCCCCTAATTTTTTTTAATTTTAAATTAATTTTTTTTTGACACAGAAAAGTTGTAAAAACTGTTCAGAGCATCCGTGTACCACTGTCCAGCTCTCCTTAACTTGAACTGTGTGCTAATGGTCAAAATCAACGGTCGACCAACCAGCAATGGAATCAACGTAGCGCCGTGGCTTGCCCTGCAGACTTGGTTGGCTTTGACAGTGTTTCTCACCAAGGTCCTTTGGTGGTTGCCTCAGGCCTCACATTACACACAATTCTGTTTTCTCCTTGGTCTCCCATCTGTTTCCCAGTCTTTCCTCGTCTTTCATGACTGATTTTTTTGGCCAGTACTAGTTATTCACAGAATGTTCTTCAGTGTGGGCTTGTCTGTTGTCTTCTCATGACTAGAGTGGGTTAGGTGCTGTGGACAGGAACACCACAGAGCCATGCCAGTGTACCACAGAGCCATGCCAGTGTACCACAGAGCCATGCCAGTGTGTACCACGTCGGGATTCATGATTTTGTATGTCCCCATTACCAACAGTGTGTGCTGAGCTTCTCCGTAGTAAGATACTGTCTTCCTCTTTGTGGTTAAGAAATATGAAGGATGTTTGTGCATTTGAAATGTCCAGGTAAAGGAAGGCATCGGTGTGTGGGGGGCGCAGAGCCTGGTATTGTAACCACTGCTTAGCAGTGGACCAGCTCTTGCTCCCACATGGACATT